GATGGTAGATCCGTCTCCTCGTGGCTGTATTTGCTGTGCGGCGCTGCATGTACCGCTTCGCGCTTCGTTTTGGCGTTTGTGCGTGTCCGAGTGGTGTGCGCATGGTCTCTTCAGTGTACCTCCTTGAAAACCGAACCAACAGACTTGCGCGTGTCAGCTATCAATGCTGACACTCGCTTTGTGATTGGTCCAGCGGGTCAGATCCACTCTCAGAGGTTTGGGTGCAAACGCTCACTCCGAGCGCTTGTATCTATGCCCACACGGCTACAGCGTGTGGTACAAAATGCTGGTGTGCAATCAGGGGCAAACAGCAGTGTGTTCGAAGATGCCGGGGTGCACACACTGCTGGCGCTGTGTGTGCGTGGTTCGCGGGGATAGATCCGTCTCCTCGTGTGTGCCGCGCTGCACGTACCGCTTCGACATCAGCAGCGTACAGTCCCGTGGTTTTGGCGTTACAACAGCGAATTCGCCACACTGATGTCCTCGCCAGCCGCTTCAGCTCGGTATCACTGTGTAGCGGGCAGAGTCTCCCCGATTGAAACTCGGCGAGGCTCGTCCCCGGGTGCATTGGGTTCGTTTTCGCGCGCCTCGGGGCGTTTTGGCAGCACCGTCTGCCCGGCGGGCGATTTGTTTTTAGATTTCCCGAGGAATTCCCGCCGGCATCGTCCTGCCGTTTTGGACGGTAAAGCATCCCCGGGCCACGATTTCAGCCAGAATACACTGCTGTACTTGTGCACCGTGATTCAGGGCGTTCGACGCCACAACTCCGGGGTCGATTGGAGCCGGTGGCGCAAAGATATAGCCATTTTTCGGGGAGAACCATTTTCTTGCCCGAACCGAAACTTCAAATTCCGAGAACCCGACAGCCCCATCTTTTTTTTTGAAGTTCGCAGGCACACACTTCTCCCTCCCTCCCCCTTGTTTTTCGCAGGTACTACAGCATCACCGCAACCACGGTAGCAGCAGCACAGGTGCAGCCTCGGCGCGAACGGGGGATTGGCCGGGATCCTCGGAACCAAGAGAAAAGCGCGTCAGCGCCCCGCCCCGCCCCGCGAGACAGCGATATATGAATGCGTCATCTTGGAGCTGCAAAACACCTGATTCCGATGTTCAGATTCAGAAAAATGGTCAGGGAAGTTTATGTTTGTGGTTAGATCATGAGCGTATTTCACGGGGTAAAAACAAATGGCGGTTAGGTGGGGTAAAAATGGGGTGCGTTCTGAAACACAGCCATACCCATTGCTCACGTGCCCATTCACCCCGCGTCTTCACCCCTCCTTTCCCGGCACACAGTTAGGCTTGTGCAGCCGCCAGGATTTCTTCTTACATTCCACAGAAAAGCAAGAATAGTACTGACCACACCTAGAGCACACTGCCGTGATCAATTTCGAGCAGGTGATGCAGAACTTGTAGTCCTGTTGGCGCCTCATGGCTCTCATGTACTTGGGACTATTCGGGTAACAAAATACTGGACAGTACGTACGACGCTTGAAGCGAAACGTCAGCAGATCGACGTCATAGCACCCACCCGACGCCTTCAGTGGGGACACTTCACTTCCATCTCTCAAGTCAAAACCATTCAAGTTGTACCAACGAGACCCATCACTGGACAATACCCTCTTCACGTTAGGAAAGAGATCGCAGGTGATGCGTATGCGCGGATCACTGACCCTGCGGACAAATGCCGACAGGTCCGCTTCGAAGGATTGGGCGTACCCGATGAGATCTTTTTCAGTCAGAGTCCGGTCCAGTAGTACATCATCACTCTCTTGCTCTTGCTCGGCTACCCTCGCCCATACGGCGAGTATTCCCCTAGATACTCGGCGAGTTTTTCCCCGGAAGAACGGATTCTTGCCCTCGAAGCCTCCCGCGCTATCGAAAAACACACAGACACTTTCCCTTGTACCGGGCATGTCACCGCGGCGAACGTAGACGTCCTGCATTTCATGGCCTCGTACGCGTGAAAAGCTCCATCGAGATCCTTAGCATCAAGAGTAGGGTGGGTGAGTTGACCATCCGGCGACACAACGAGCCCGCGCATGGTTTGTGTTAGCTCCGGTACGCTGTGGCTGCCGTGTTGCACGTTTGTTCCGGTTCGACTACAACATCAAAAACACAACAGCCGTTTCAGATTTTTGAATTCGTACCTGAGAAGTCCGATCTCCAGCACAATTTGGCTCTACCCACTTGAAGTCTGTTTGAAGCCTCTGCGCTACAGATAGCAGCCGCAGTAGACCAATGAAGCACACAATCCACAGCAACCACACGACACAGCCTTGCTCTCTTCCCTGGTCGCCACGGCAGCAGCCATTCACAGTCTATCGAGGCTACGTTTGCCGGATCATTTGATTTTTCGGCGGTGATATTTCCGATGGATCGGTGATTTTTTTCCTGTTGAAATGAAGAGCCAGCCCCGAAAGAAACGCAGAACCCCATCGTCTCACATCACTTCCGAACTCCGTGTTTAACGCCTCGAGGCTACTGTGAGCAAGCGCAGCACAGCAGCGAAGCACAACAGGCATCAATCGGTTGAGTTATCTGGGGTGAGTGACCCGACTCTTCAGTGTGAATTCAATCCCGTGATCGGGTTGTTTTGAAAACAGTCGCCCGAAAAACCCCGTGAACGGCTTTTTCAACCATCGTGATTGTTCGCGCAAACGTCCGGCACGGCGTGGAACGCTTATCCCTGCAACAGTCTACGTGTGAGTTTGGCTTAGGGGTTGCCCGCGTTTCATCTTAGGTCCAACCCGTTGACTTTAACCCCGTACTACGCTGACATTCGATAATGCACCACGCTGAAGTAGCGCCTCTGGAAATATGTATGACGCCCCTTCCTCAACACGTGCTTTGAGTTAATCTGGCGCGGGTGCCGCGACGCAAACGAGGGACGCGAGAGTTGTTTTTGGGGTCGTGTTTCATGCACAGCTTGGACGGGGCATCAAATCAAGTATTTGAATCATGCTTTGAGTCATTGAATCGTGTCAATCGAGCTATCGATCATCCAATCATGCAAACAAGCATTGAATTGATCAACCGAGATTTGAATCGTGACACAAGCATTGAATCATTCGGGTCAGAACTGTTTGATTCGCTTGTGAGCCTATGTGCACCGCGTTACGGACAGCTTATAGGGGGTGTCCAATTGAAAACGAATCGTGTAAGGAAGTACCATGATTGCTGTCGATCAATTGAAATCCCGAATAAATCGGGGGCGTTTTCTTTTAGACGGGGCAACAGATCAAGCAGTGTTATCGTGCACTTTGCGTGCAGGCCAGAAGTGTCTGAATCGCTAGAGAGACATTGTGTGTCGTGTTACTGGCAGCTTAGAGGGGGTGTCAATCGTGACGTGAATCAAGTCAAAAAGTTGCACGATTGCTGGCCAATCAGGAATCGTGTTGGAATCAATCACAGTAGTTTCAAGTCGTTTTGCTTGATTGGTGCTTGATTCAATTCGGTTCACGGGCGTTCAGACGGCTGAATACTCTTGGTATCAAACCTCTGCAGAATGTTGTGTGGCACTCACTCTCGCCAGGACGTACAACTACATAACCAATTCATTCCCAACAGCCCGCCCACGCATGTTTTGGGAGGCAGTCCTACCTGATGGCGACTGTACACCTGCCGCGTGACGTGTGGCATACTTTCAGTAACTACAGAAAGATGCGTACTCCACAGGAATATATATGAAACTCTGATTACAACGCTAACACTTTCTTCCGAAATTGAAACGACTCTGCCGGCTGGACGCATGAAAATGAAAAGAATCCTGCTCTACTCCCCCCAGGGTCTGTTCGCGTGGATATCGGGAGTGATCGCTGTTGCGGATAACGGCTGGTTCATTGGAAATACTGTCAAAGCGGACGGGGCTGTCATGTATTGCTTCACCCTCGTCGACGAGAGCGGAATCTCGGCCAGACGGTGTACTCTCTGGAAGTGTCACGTGTCTGGCTTTTTGGCGTGGAAGCGTAGAGGTTCATGCATGAGCCATGCCACGGTAGGGGGTCACGTTTATGGGCCCATATTACACTGCCGCTGTGATATCCGTGTCATTTGCTATGTAGTAGGAACGGTTGCTGCTACCTGTTTCCGAGTAGCTGTTCTACCCGAGTAGCTGCTCTACCCTATTCTGCCCGATATGCAAGGAGCTGGTCGACGCAAAATATCGTACACCACCGAAACGTGTGGTTCGATCGCCGAGTGGTCTGTCAACATGTCAGCCTCCATGAAGCACCGACGATCTTGTTGAAGTAAATACAAGAATATTCTCCTTGCGCATGATGAGTGATAACATTTCTACAGTAAAACGACTTACTCTTGTATCATATTGTAGCACCACCATCACACATCCTACGGGGGTAGCGACCCTATGCACGAGACGTGTGAAATTAAGGCGTGGACAAAGAACTGAAACACTGACTACTTCGAGGGTATACTTCGAGGTTACACAATTATTGATGCCGCATACACATGATACCACTGAATATCCCACGACAACCCTACCCTCACGCGACCGTCCAGCAATCAATACACATGCCACCAATGTCACCTCACAGGCAGGCCTCACTCAACCGTCCAGCAATCTTCTATGCACGTGACGTGTGAAATATGGCGGCCAACGCATCGAGGCTACATCCTCCAGGAAGAGCAACACTGTTCAAGAGCTAAACGAAAAAAGGGCCCAACTGTTCCTGAACGACCGAGGTACTTCAAGACTACATTTCATGACTTCTCTGTACTCCAAGCTCGTTTGCACTGTGGCCTCGCCTGCAGCCCCGAGTATGACTACGCAAGCGCTCATCCTGCCACAACCGTGCACACAGGAGACAGGTGCGTATATCTCTCAGGTAACTCGGTGGACGTCTAGTCTATCATCAACTAGACTAGGACGACAACCGTTCGCAGCGCTCGAGGTAACCCTCATCGGCATTACGCGGAACGGCAGCCAATGTCAGAACTCGTGAACCTCCAGTCCACTGTAGCTCAAAGCGATGGCATCGTTCTTAGAGGGACGATATTACGTCGACAACCTTTGCCTGAATCACTCTCAAACCTCTCCACGCTGTATCCCTCCCCTGTGGTGGAGCTTTGAACCCCTTCTCCACTATTGCACCCGCTTCAACAAGGCTAGGCTGAACGTGGGCCCGCCTACGGTCAATTTTTCGCATTTTTGCGGGCCGGCAATCAACGAAAGCATCTTGTGGACGCTTTGACATGACGACCAGCTTGGAGAGAGCACCCTCTACAACGTCACGACGCATTCGATATCTTGTGGTCAAACTTGTCCTAGATGCTCTGGACACTTCCTCCATGTACCCCTCTATTCCCTGGCCTAGCCCTGCTAGAGAGGTGAGCGGGATCGCTCTGTTTTCGTCAACTGGAAGAACATTAGGCACGTCATACTCTACGCTCCGTACGTGGCTAAAGACGTCGTGAATCCACACCATAACATCGCCTTCCGAAAACATGCCATCCTTCGCAAAGCTACTTGTGTAGTCGGACGGAGCCTTGCGACCGATGAAAATTGGTACTATGTCCTGGCCTCGGTACTGCTCTGGGCGAACACGCATCAGGGCGACTGATCCATATGGTAGAGGGTTCCTCATTCGAGTGAACATGAGTTCGATCTCCCTCTTTTTTGTGGTCTCCTCGTCATCGTTGCTTCGTCGCCGGGACCACTCTGCTGGTGCCTCCATGATGCCTTCGCGGAACAGGTTGCACTTCTCCGTTTCTCCTTTTCTGCAGAGTTCACAACTGGCGGATAACAACGCAGGGGGGTGGGACATCGAAACAAGATCCGGCAGGGGAAGGACGCCAATTGGGGCCACACTCTTAAGTTTTTGACAAATTAGCTCCGGAAGAAATTAAGTCACAGTTGTTTACCCAATCAATAATCAAGTCACAGTTATTACCCGATCATTTTCAAGCGAGTGAACGCAGGACCACCAGACTTTGGGCTATTCGACCGACCAGCTTCAATACACCGATACAAAGGTCCTCAGAGAAGTCTTGGGTGTCGCATTTGTCGGGCGAAATAATGACCCTGGTTCCGTCGTGAAACGTACCAGCAAGACAACCGGGAAATATCAAAATATATGTTCCAGTAGAACACACAGGAATTTGGGCCGCGGCTAATCGACCGATGAGCGCAAATACCAAAACAACTATTTACCAGCAAACCATACAGGAGTTTGGGTCGAGTCTATTTTCCTATCAGCGTAAAAACCTTTTGATGAGCAGAAAATCCATTCCGATCAGCGAAAAAAACACCTATTGACCAACAGAACATACAGGAACTTTTTGGTCGAGGCTAATCGACCGATAAACGTAAATACCAAAAACAACTACTTCCCACGGTCCGTCGTGAAACTTCAAGGGTGTAGGTAGCCACGACGCCTGGTGTTTCGGTGGCTACGATTTTGCTGTTGGCTTGGCATCCCTCGACCTTGATCGCCTTCAATTCGGAGCGAGAGGCGGAACGAACTGCATGCAAAATGTCGCCTGCGGCTTGGAAGATGTGCTTTCTGCCCAGGAGCGTGTTCGGCTTCTTCGTGACCAGAAAAGTCTTCCCCTCTTTGCATCTGCTTTCGCTCCCCCACACCTGACGTGTAAATCATAAGGTGATATCACAGGTGGCCGGTCTCAGGTCGAGCGTTTTAACAGGTAGAACAAGGTTTTCGTGTGATTGAGAGCGAAGTTTCTGATTGAGAGCGAGATTGCGCGATGCGCTGTAGCCGGACTACCGCTGAGAGGTGGAGCTTGCTGCGTGACTTGAATTGAAGGCCTAGCCCGTAGCTACAAGCCGATACCCTGGTCATCCTGTGGGCGTCTCTCGTTGTGGAACTACAGCGGGGAGCAGAATCTACAGCAGAGCTCACCGCCCGCGATCGAATCGCCCTGAAACAGTTTGAGGCAGGAATAGCCAATCTGGGGAAATCTAGCAACTTGTCTAGCTCCTAGCTGCAGCATCCGATCGCGATGACACGCATATGCTCGTGACGCTGCTGATGAGACCTTCAATTTGCGCCGCGTCTTGGAAGAGCCCGCCCCCTACTTCCCAAGAAATGGCAAGAGGCGTCTGGCCCCGAAATTTCAATTTTTTTGGCTCCCGCTCTCAATCGTATACTCCGCTCTCAATCAGGCGAAAACCCTGTTGTAGGTGGTCGTGCCATGTTTTCTCTGTTGTTGTAAGTTGTTGTTGTTGTTGGTGTTGTTGTTGTTGTTGTTGCTGTTGTTGTTGTTGTTGTTGTTGTTGTTGTTGTCGTCGTTGCGTACTTGAAAAAACCGTTCCGTTTCTCTCTGCCCAGTACCTTCTTCTGTCCGTATGATGCTAGTCTATTGAAACGTATCACGAACGCTCTTCCGTTGCTGATTCTGCAAACCTCCTACAGGCTGATTCTGCAAACCTCCCACAGGCTGATTCTGCAAACCTCCATGTAGCTGGACACTACAGTTCATCTCAAGACACAGAAATTACGAAAACACGGAAATACGAAAATAAATATTGTGCACACCTCCTTTGTACTCACCGTCGTCACCAGCAACTGATCTCCACCACTGCTGCTTGTCCTGGAAGCTTCAAAGGTCATCTCTTCTTTGGTCGGCTCCTCAAGAATGAAGTCCACCGATTCACCCAGCAGGGTACAGAGGTGTCTGGGGCTCTGGACTACCCACGTCTGGTTGATGATGTTTTGCCTTGTGCTGCCTTAGGTGTTCGCCCCCTCGCTATCAAAACCGCTTTTCCCGTGGCAACTCCCAAAGTAGTGATGCTCGGCATGCACTGGTACGTTGGTAGACTCGCCGTTGATATCGCGAATTATCACCTCGTGGGAAGCGAGCCAGCCGAAATGAAGCCTACACTTGAACCGCTTCGCGCAGTTATCCGTGAAAAAAATCGCTCGCACCATGGCGGGAGCGCCTAGTTTCCGCATCAAGACGGGGACATGCTCCGTCATAAGCTTAAACATGACATCCTGCGCCCACGCGTTGTCCTGGGTTCTATCGTCGCTGAGCACTTGGAAAGAGTTGGCCCACACACGTCCCTTCCACTTAAAGTATATACGCTGATCGGCCGAGGAGGCGATACCCGCTGCGGTATGTCCGCACAAACCACACCTACTTCTGGGTTTCCCCGCTGACTCAAAAAAGACCAGTTCAGCGATTTTCACCAGTCCGGCCCAAAAAAACACCAGTTCGGCTATTGCGCCGCGCTGAACAGGTGAAAATGAGCTGGTGTTTTTTTTTTTCAGAGCTGGTAAAAAAGCCCATCTGTATTTCACCTGTTTAGTTTTTGCGTGTTCGGGAGGCGAAGCGGTACATAGCGAGATCGAGTCGTTCCTACAGCAGTTGCGCGCAACACCCAGTGGCGAGGCAGCTGGGACTCTTGTGCATCAGTGGGTGTGGACGTGTCATTCGGTGGGTTCCGCTGGGAGAGTGAATTCTTCTGGAGAAGTGGTGTTTTTTGCACCTGGAAGTCGTCACGTCCTTTTGGTTGAACCGAGATCAAAGCGCGTATCACAAGGAGTGCCTTGGTTGTGAGTACAGAGTACTCGTGCTCGCGGTGGCGCAGGAACCCGGAACACCTCCACGATAATGGTCATCATCCTCGCCAGGCCGTCGGCGGACTTCGACACAACGCCGGCATCGTCGGCATATAGCATCCCCCACACCGCCCTCCG